TTTATTATAGCACCATTAGATGGAAACATAAATATTTGGTGCCATAAACTTAAGTCTTATAAACTAGTCACAAAAAGTATTCATTAACAATGACAGATCTGGTTTTAACACCAGAATAAGTATCACCAATGATCTGGTGGATAGGATGGTCTTTGGTCCATCTTTTAATCCAATTTCATTTTTAAGCTTCCATGAGATAATCCATCATGTGAAAAATGATAAACCTACTTACCCCATTCCTCAAATAGGCAACCTCCCTTGTAGGGTTAGATGTAAATTTATCAAATTACATGACCTTACCGAATGAATATGATAAGGACCAAAAATCTTATCTGATATGAGCAAGACAAAGATCAAGAGTCTTACCCGGTAAGTGAGGGTGACGACTCTTACCATGGTAAGCGCTTACCGGGTAAATTGWTGCATACGATACCGTTTTGATAAACTAAAATCTTACACAATAAATAAATGATAGTGTTAAATTTTATCGGTAAACATTTACCAGGTAAATGTTTGATAAACGAACCCTAAGTATTAATTGGATAAGAATACGATCTGAGTAAAAAATGATTAAAATGGTTGTTTACTAAATGTTTTGTAGTAAATGTTTATCATGGCCTACTTCCATTAAACCTTTTACCTTTTGCTTTTTGATCGTATTATTTATTCAACGACCCTATATTTCTAGCACATTGACATATTAATTTGCTTGGGTTAAATGTCTAATTGATTAAGGGGTTGTTTACTAAATGCTTAGCCAAGTAAGCGCTTACTAAATCACATTACATTATCGGATAAATATGGTAAGGATCAAGAATCTTACCCGTTAAGAGCAAGACAACGACCAAGAGTCTTACCTGGTAAGTGAGGGAAACTATTCTTACCACGATAAGTGTTTACCGGGTAAATTGTTGCGTACGATTCCGTTTTAATGGACTAAAATCTTACCCGATAAGTAAATGATAGTGTTCATTTTTGCCGATAAGCACTTACCGAGTAAGTGTTTGGTAAACGGCCCATTAGTTATTTTGCTCATTACATTTAAAAGAAATAAATTTGTACCACCAAATTTTACTGATTAAATGATGGACCAAATCTCTGGTAAGAATAAGAGTAAAGTGAGAGACCAAAAATGAAATTAGATAGAGAGACTAATGGGTCGTTTACCTAAATGCTTACTCGGTAAGTACTTATTATTAGAAGTTAACACTATAATTTATTTTACTGTGTAAGATTGTAGTACATTAAAATGGTAGAGTATGCAACAATTTACCTGGTAAGCACTTACCCGCACCCGGGTAATAGTCGTCATACTCACTTATCGAGTAAGACTCTCCATCTTTATCATTGCTCTTACCAGGTAAGTTGTTTGACCCTTGTCATGTTCATCAGATAAGAGAAATTACTCGGTAAGCACTTACTAGGTAAGCGTTTAGTAAATGGTTCCTAAATCCATTATAGAAATTAAATTATGAGAAGCGGTATTTAAAATGCGATGACTCTGGGCTATCTACTAAGTATGTGGTCCTCCTAGGATTAGTCGGCTCGCATAACGGATTGGATGTCCAGTTAATAAAAATAATAACAATAAAAAATAGGAAAGAGAAGGATTTTTTTTTCTCCAAATATAAAAAAGATTCAAAAAATATTAACTAAATATTAAAAAACAATATTATAATTAATAAATAAGATATTTAATATTATAATCAATATTTAGCTGTTTTAAGAAAAGGAAAACGGGAATTTCAGTTACGACAAATTAGGGGAAAAAGTTGAAAATGGAATATAAACAAAACGGAAATCATTTCAATCACACGCGCATCAATCCACGCGCCATTTTCTCTTCGATAATTGCGCTGTTCAAGGGGACAAGCTGTGAGTGGGGCCCTGACAAACGACGCGCGTGGATTATTGGCAGACATATATTTTTACTAATAATTTTTTTAAAAGAAAAACAATAAATATGAAGAACTTTTTCTTTTTTAAAAAAAATAATCCGATGCAATTTTTTTTCTCTAGATGAAATAAAATTATTATTATTATATAAATTAAAATAAAATTCAATTATAAAATTAAAAAGATAAATTTAGAATAAAATAAACTTTGATCCGTAATATAAAATGCTATTTAAATATAATAAAGCTGTATTATTTATGGATATAAATATTAATGAGGATTTATGAATTATGATGTATTTGTTAAGTATTTCATAGGAAGTTTACTAAACGTTTACCCGGTAAGTATTTATTGGGTAATTTTTCCTTATCGAATGAACATGGCAAGTGCCAAGAATCTTACCTGATAAAAGCGATGATAATGATGGAGAGTTTTACCCGATAAGTGAGGATGACGACTTTTACCCGGGTAAACGCTTACCAGGTAAATTGTTGTATATTATACGTTTTGATGTACTACAATTTTACTCAATAAAATAAATTATAGTGTTGACTCAAAAAATTAAACACTTACCGAATAAACAGAGCTAAATGAATTGAAAAGTCAAGTCTCAAAATGATGACATTGAGGTGGGTTTATGACCCACATAGATGGAATCTAAAATTTAAGATCTCTAGATATACAATGACTCAAGTGAGAATTTAGTTGGTTGTTTGATGGTTACTGAATGATTTAGTTATTTAAAATAAAATTAGGATATTGAATGGTTAAGGGAGACCCAAAATATAAAATTATTCAAAGGGTTTTAAAATCATTAAGAGACGATTTTTTTTTTGTCAAATAAGATTCATCTCTTATTGACAAAAACTAATTCTTATGGATCTATTAAGAGGTAAACAAACAACCCTTAAGATCTTTTAAACGAAACAATGTCGAGGGAAAGATCATTTTTCGTTTAAAAACACGAATTGTAGGGACAAAAACCAAAAAGCAGTCATAGATGATGGACCAAAAATGTAATTCACTCTAATATATAACGTTAATATGTTTTCAAAATTTTAAAGGAAAATAAACCTAGGCATAAAATGACCAAATTGACGCACTCAACGGACCTTTGACTAACAGCGTTAAGAGAAACGACGACTTTAGACTGAAAAATACAAAAAAAAAAAATCCATCAGCGTACTTTACGAGTTGTAAGGACGAAAATTAAAAACAGATAAAAAATTAAAAATATAATTACTTTATTTAAAATTATAATCCTTTAAGCACAAAATTTAAAAAACTACTACAAAATATGTTTATATTTCCATAGGATTTACTATTTGACTTCCGATGTTGATAAGATGGCATGATAAGCACCGAAATATGATCGTTTTTGGCATTTTTAGTGTTCATGGTGTGCATAGTTTTAAACCGTGACATAAGATAAAGACACGACTTCATGTGATCCTTTACACCTAACTTTTATTTTATTTTATTTTATAAATCCTAATAAACTAATTGGGTTCAACATTTGGATATTATTATTTGTTTTGAAATTTAATTGAGTTACTGCTCTTGATTCTGTAGAAACTTGGACTTTACCAGTAACTCGTATATCCTTATATAAAAAAAAACCGTTTAATATATTGAAGTGGGATTAAACTATGTCGGGTTTAGTTCGGTTGACCCATTAATTTTTAAATAATCAATATATTAACTGTGATCATAATTTTTTTTGGGTGTAACTCAACTGGTAAGATTTTCAGTTTGTTCTTTATTGATCATTGATTCAAGTCTCTTCAGAGCTACTAAAAACTTGCCTGTTAATTTCAAGGTCTCAGTGATGGATCCGTGATTTTTTTTAAACGGTGACACCATTTGACTATAAGAAAAAAAATTCAAATAGTGGCACCGTTTGACCAAGAAAATGACATTAACAGGATTCGAACTTGGGTCTGGGTGGAATAAAGCCTTGCAAACCAATTCAACCAAATAAAACTTGTTTTCTTCCGGATTGACACAAATGTCGCTACTTACGCAATATCCATCACGAACCTAGCTAAAGACCAAAAATTCAACACAAAATATGCAATTGTAACGGTCTAGGTCAGTAATTGCGACGATAAACTGGTTGAATTTGACATTTTTTTTCGTTTAGCCAGATAGCAATATTGCAAACCTGAGTACTGTAAATGGAGTAACATTTGGGTTAACCCGAAAGAGAAATGGCTAGGAGGTCAATTTGAATGAGGGAAATAGTCATTTGAGCTAATTTCTTTGTTTTAATTACATGATTTATGAACATATGAATATATGTGGCTTGGAAAAGTGTATGCTTGAATGACTTAACTCGACTTGACTCAAAAAAATTTAATCGAGTTTTTTTTGAACATGCCGAATCTAACGTTGGTGTTATAGAGAGTTAAACTTGTTAAGTTAAACGAGCTTCATTTTGTGTTTGAGATCGACTCGAGCAGGGTAAAAGACACTTATTAACAATTTATTTTGATCACCAAAAAATATTATCTGATAAAGTAAGTGTGAGTGATAACTCTGTCAATAAATATTTAAACAGTAAATGTTTGGTGAACAACTCTCAAAACTAATTTAAATAATTATTAAATTAATAAACTTAAAAAAGTAAACAACTCTAATTTGTTTAAGTTTTTAGAACATTGTATACATTTTAAACTATTAAAAATCCGAGACTTGAAATCATGTGAGATCAATGATTTTTCGTGAGACTCATAACACCAATTCTCAACCTTTGGATTAGATTTACAATCTGAACATTCATAGTCATAAAATTGTCACAAGACTTCTCAATAATCACAAAATTACCACCATACAACTTTAAACCATTAAATTATAAATTTGATTAATAAACATAAATTGGTTTTACGAAATACATACAAAACCCATGGTAACCCTATTATCCGATCCGTTACGTAAAGTATTAATTGTTGATATATGTTGGAGTGGACCAAGTTGGTCTTGGGGCAGCTTTTCCTTTTCAGTTATAATATTTTCATTTTGCTTTTCAAAAGCATACAGACATCTCCCTCTTTAGGATTCTTCTTCTTCACAGACAGCCATCACTCCTGCAAATCATTTCTCTCTCTCTCTCTCTCTCACCTTCTCTCTAGAAACAGCATGTGAAACACTTTTAACACATTCTTCACTCATCTCTGTAAGTACTCATCTCTCTCTCTGACTTAGTGTTTTCTAGTCTTACAATGCGTCAATTGTTTGCTAATTTGCGATCATGATCTATGGTATATGAGGAATCGAGCTTATCTTCTTCGATGATCATGTGTTTGGTTAGTTTAGTTGGATTTTTTTTGAAAATAGTTGGTGTAGTTGTTGAAATGTAGTTGAAAAAGCACTTGTGATTCGGACGACATTTTAATAAAAATCATTTTCGGTGTATGAAAATAAAATTATAAAGTATTGGTGTAGAAGATAATTTAAGGTCTTCTGTAAACCTAGTTCAAGTTCGTTTTCAGTACAGTTAAATTATCCTGTTTCATGTTAAAGGTGAGCATGTTTTCTTGATTCTTTATTTTATTTTATTTTTTTTCTAATTATTTTATTTTATATTTTATACTAAATTCTTGCTCATTATCTAGGTTTCTTCTTCTAATTTTTTATTGGAAGCTGATTGATCCATTGTTTTTATTCTTTGGCATGGAGGATTAGTGATTTGAACAAGTTTGTTGAAGGTTCGCGTAGATCTGCAATCCTGCTGCAATTTTAGTACTTCATTGTCCGCAAAGAACTCCAATTTTGACTTTTCAAAATCAAAATACTTTGTATTTAGGGTTTCATCACTACGATATGTTTCTGTTTAGTAGAACATTTTTGATAATTGACAGGGTAGTTGTCATTTTGTGACTTGAACTTGCAAATGAAAACGAGAACTCTCAAAAGTCAAATCATGGACTTATTTTTTGGGATAAAGGGTGTATTACTTAGTGTCCAAGGAATTTATTAGAGACTACATCCTTGCAAGATCCGGGAGCATGGGGTTCAAGATTTTGAATTGGACCCGGTGATTTGAGCTAAACATGGAACCTGTCTCATTCCACTTCACAAAGTATTCTGTAATAGAGAACTGACATTTTTATGATTTCATTTGTTAGTTCACGATTGATTTTTCTCGTTGATAAAATCTGGATTTTTTTGGTTGGAAGAATGTAAGATACTATGAAATATAATATCTTTTGTGTTAGTTGCTATTACATACAGTATAGACTTTGGGATCATGACATAACCCACCATTTCCTCTAGTAATTATATTTTTTTCAGTTTATAGAACATATAATTGGAAGAATGACGAAGGTAAGTCCTGAAGTTGACGACGAGACACAAACTCAAGCTGTTCTGTCAGTATCAGCAGATGTGAGCTTTGCGTCAAATCAGTTCCCAAAATATAAATTAGGTCCTGATAATCAGATTCTGGATGAAGCAACAGTGGATAGTAAGGGTCCTCCATTGAAAGAGGTGGTGGCACAAGAAACCGAGCAGCTGTCTGAGCAACATAGACGTCTCTCCGTCCGTGACCTGGCGAGTAAATTTGACAAAAATTTGTCTGCTGCAGCCAAGTTGTCTGATGAGGTATACCTAGAACTATCTGGTTTGGACGGAAAACCATGGGCAAATCATAATGATGGTTCATGAAGTATAATGTTGTTGCCTGTACATCTCTTAGCATACATTGCATTGTGTTCTTATATGTAGGCCAAACTCAGGGAGGTGGCTTCCTTAGAGGGTCATGTACTTTTGAAGAAACTCAGAGATGCTTTGGAATACTTAAGAGGACGATTAGGTGGTCGAAACAAGGAAGATGTTGAAAAAGCTATTTCTATGGTATACCCTTGTTATTCTTTCCTAGTTAGTCTTCTGTTTCTGTTACTTGTTTATGTGTAATTGTATATTTTAACAAGCTTCCTTTTATGACATGATAAGAAAGGTAAAAAAATCATAATTGCTATGCTGTATCCCTATTGACTAGTCTAATTTATTTTATGGCGGATACTTTGTCATAGGTGGAAGCGATGGCAGTAAAATTGACTCAAAATGAAGGGGAGTTGATACAGGAGAAGTTTGAAGTAAAGAAGCTTGCAAACTTCCTCAAACAGGTTACTTTATTTGTCACTTGTTCACTGGGAAACTAAGTACAGCAATAGAAAGAATTTCTTTGTAATAATAGTGTTTTTTAGATTTCTTCCAGTCAGTTATTTAAAATGATTACCATGAACAAAAAGTAATTTTAGATTGGCAAAAGAAAAGATGCAATTTCATGGGACAAAGCAAGTATGTTGTAGTTGGTTTAATATGCAAGCAACTCCTCTCATTGTCTCACTGAACTTTTTGTTATACTTCTCATATTCAGATTCTATTCCTTGTGTTTTAACAATTTCTTCAGCATGAGAAAATGATTTTGTTATTTATTTGCAGGCTTCGGAAGATGCTAAAAAGCTGGTAAACCAAGAAAGGTCTTTTGCTTGTGCAGAAATTGAGAGTGCCAAAGCAGTAGTACGAAGAATTGGGGAGGCTCTTGATGAGCAAGAAAGGGTATCACTAACATCAGGAAAGCAGGTATCATGCTTATATGCTGATGAAATCTTATGTACTGGTGCTACCTGTTACTTATTTTATCGACTTTATCTTTGACATTTATATGTTTAAATATGTCGGTAGTTTGGTACTTATAATGTTCAAGTATTAAGTATTGTTTTTTTTTTGAAAGTAATTCACCGACTTGTTGCCAGGAAATGGAGGAGATGATGGAGGAAATCCAGCAGGCTAGAAGAATTAGGTTGTTGCATCACCCCTGCAAGGTGTGTTGAAAATTCGTTATTTTATTTAATGCATGCTTAATCTATTAATTAATTTATTTAAGAGCTGGTGACCATGTGCACTGAGGCTCCTTGTCTTTGCATGGCTTTGGAAAGGAATTATGTATACGCAGTCTTTCCTTGCCAATGTTCAAAAGAAGCTATTCGTGTGACTAGAATCCTTTACCTTCCGATCATTACTCTCAACACGTCTCTCATGGATAGCCAAACTCTGAAAGCATATACTTGGACATATTATATGGGTAACACAGACTATACGCTGCTGGGAAACAAGTCCCGATTCAATATTACAACACTTGGTTGCAACTCAAAATTAATTGACTATGAGTTGATTTGGTTGACAATATGACAACTGTGGTCCCTTCATGCATAAATTATTTGTTCACACTCTGTTTTGTCCTTTTTCTATGCACTCATGTGTCATTTGTACATATATGCTTCATCTTTTTTATTTTATATTTGAATTGTAAAATACATATATAATAACTTAACATTCTATACATGGATCCAAAACCTCATAAATACGTGCCCCACATCTCAAATTGTAGGTTTTGTACATTGATAAATTACAATTGTTCCACCTTCATATGATATTCTTGTTAATATCACAACTTTCATGTGGTAGCATTAATCTATTTTATACCTTTGTTGTCTAGGTGATGGACATGGAGCATGAACTTCGAGCCTTGAGGAGCCAAATCCAAGAGAAGTCTGCATTCGCAGTAAAGCTTCAGCAAGAGGTATTTCACTTAAAATAAGAAAGTTGAAAACTGCAACATTTGACTTGACACATAATTTAATAAGCATATTGTTCTAATGTCTAAAATACCCTTAACAAAGACAAGCTAAAGGAAACTTGTGGACCAAAATCAAAGTTGCTAATTTCAAGTAACGGTTACCAAAATGCAAAACAATAACTTATGATTAAAAAATTTACCAAATATGTTAGTGCTTTTTGGGACAACCCAGACCAGAAAGTGCAAAATTCTTTTGGGACGGATGGAGTAAATCATAATTTGTTTGTTTTTTGTTGGATGTACTTAAATATTTAAATTCTAATACGAATGCAGCTAATGCTGAAGAAATGGGCTGAGGAGAACAAGTTAAGCTTATATGCATTAGGAGATTCTGGAAATTTGGGCTCCATCATACGACTTCAACCATGCTCGGAAGAAGCCATGGAGCTCTCAAAATGTTCAATTCAGTGGTATCGCTTATCATCACAATGTAGCAGAAGGGAGCTTATTTCAGGTGCTTATTACATAATATGCATGCAACTACTTTTTCGGGTGGTAGTGTTTTTAGTTTTTCAGGCTTCCCTAAGATGAATGTGCTTTAGGAACATGCCCTTGCATTCCTCTATATGTATTTGTGTATATGCTATTGCTTACTCATATTTAGCTTTTCAAATCTTAGCTTATCTGTAATTTTCACTTTCACACGCTTCTCACTGGCCGGGGGTCTTCTCGGAAACAACCATTCTACTCTTTAGGGTAGGGTAGATGCTAGGTCTGCCTACATCTTAGCCGTAGACCTCACCTACGGATGTGATATACTGTGTTTCTTTGGTTTGGTTTATGTATTTTTGTGTGTATATTTCTTTACTTAGTCTTGTTGGCTAAATTTAATTTTCACCAGGTGCTAACAAATCAGTGTATGCTCCGGAGCCCATTGATGTTGGACGGATTTTGCAAGTAGATATTATCTCAAATGGCCAAAAATCTACCGTGACGACAGCTTGTCCTGTTCAGCCTGGTTTGTCCTTTTTCTTATCTTTTGGTTACAACCACCCTCTCCCCCCACCTAAGCTAACACTAAAACAATTAGGTACTTTTTTGTTGATTTTCAGGTTTGTTATATTTTCTTTTCTTTTAAACTTGTGTGGTACCATGTAACTCTGATAACCATGTTGATAAATTTTGATGATTGTTTCGTGCAACAGCTGTTGGATTGGAGGGTTACGTGGAAACGCTATCACAGAAAAGCAATTCCGAGTTCAGTGTATGTTGTCTTTGAACTTTATATTATGTCTTACATACTCTTTTAATCCCATGAAAATAGTAACCATTTGATTCTATGCTTTAGTAAAAAGGCATTTGACTACTAGTCAACCGTTCAAAATATCTTTTAATAATGCAAAATCTAATCATTTGGACCAAGAGTGGTATTATACTAATTGTATCAGTGACAAGAAACAGCTAAGTTAAATTAACTTGAAGATTTCCAAAATTGGAACTTCAAAATTTCATCAGCCATCCCAAGAAAGAAACTGTTTTTACATTTTTGGGATTTTGTAATTTTTAGTCAGAGCAACTGTCATCAACCCTAGAATAGGATTTTGGTTCTTTATCATGAGTAGCTCTACTAGTAGGAATAGTTCAATTCAATTGATATATGAAATTGAATGAAAGTTTTTGTATTACAGGTGGTAATCTCCCAGATGAATGGACGGAATTATTCGTCACATTCTGCCCATTTGTTACGTGTGGGAAAAACGAGAATGAAGCTTTCGAAAGGATGGATTACAAAGGCCAGGGACGCGTATTCCTCTACATCAATGCAGGTAATACTTCTTGCTTGTTACCTAATCTTATTTTGAGGTCAAGATTGATACAACATATTTCAAGAAGATATCAGATATGACTAAATTAGACATACCATCTCAATATGACTAAATCACACTTTTATGTTATTTATGACTGAAATATAGATTTGATCTTCTTCCTTCTTTTTCTTTTTTCTTTTTATGTAGGATAAATTGCTTGAAAAACACAACGTATTATGGTCGATTCCTATTTTATGTAACATACTTTCAAAATCTTCGTTTCAGTACCTCGTATGTGATATCTCAAACATTTAAACTGAAGTACGTTAAACTAAATAAGAATCATACCAAAGTACATTGCATGTTCATGCATTCTTAGATGTAAACCAGGTACCTAAATGTTTGAGATGTTTGATTATGAGGTACCGAAATGAAGGTCTTGAAAGTAGTTACACAAAATAGAAATCAGATCAGAGTACGTTGTATTTTCATGCAATTTTCCCTTTTATGTTATATGGCATATGAAGCTCTAATAAAGGCCATGTCATGCGACTTGTACGGGCTCAACAAATAGCACCTTAAGTTCGTTCTTATGAGGGAAAGTCCATCTTTTTCCTAAATTTCAGATATGTGGATTTAGAGGGGGCGGGAATCTTGCTGCTAAATCATTGTTTTGGCAATCAAGAAAAGGGCAATCTTTCGTATTGGTGTTTGAGTCAGAACGAGAAAGAAATGCAGCCATTGTCCTAGCCCGAAGATACGCTCTTGATTGCAATGTAAGTAATCTCCTCCCTCTCTCTTTATCAACTTCATTTTATACCAAGACAAATCTCATACACAACTTTCTTTTAAGCACTCGAGTCTTCATTAAATTCTTTTCACAAAACATATTTTCACAAGCCGGGTATTCATGAAGTTAGTCGCTCTACTACTAGGGGTCGAAGACAGGTCTGTGTACATCTTGTCTTAAGGTCCTACTTCTAAGACGAGTAAGACATAACAACTTAGAAGCCGTCTTTCCTTTCCGCTTTTGCTCAAAAAAATGTTTTCTCGACCTGATCCTATCTCACTCTGGCGGTCTGGCCACAAAATCGTGATTGGTATCTTTGAGGGCTAACTCAACTGACAAATAAAGGGTAGGAACTAGCCTTCTTTGGGCCACATAGGATTCCTTGTTATCTTGAGGGCTCCAATGGGACTAGTGAAGGGATCCTTAAGCTGACACGGACCGACACCCACGGTTACCCAAAAACGACACCCACGGTTACCAAAAAAAAAACGATTGGTTCACTTCTGATGGAAAGTCATTGTAAAATGACAGGTGGTGCTGGCTGGACCAGATGATCAAGCATCACTTTACCTTCTGTGACTTCACTAATGCAACTGATAACCAGGTTTCCAAATTGAGATTTGATTATTTCATTTTTTTTCACTTCTAATTTTTTGTGTGTTTTTTCCTATCTTCTTGGGCGTGTTTCTACTAATGTGATGGTTCGTTTGTGCATCCTTTATAGGCATAGTTTTGGTTTGCCTGTTCCTCGGTTGTAACAATTTTTTTTATTTTATATACCGAGTCGTCGTTGGTTTGCACCTTATTTACATTTCTAATAACGGTTTTAGCCTGTCGTATTATTGACCCGAGTGCTGCAAAACGATAATTCAGCTTAGCATGAGAAAAACATTTAGTCCACATAATTTGTTATCGTGCTTGGTTGAAAAGCCAGTAACCGGGTAGGATTGGAATATATATCGATTAAAAACACCCACATACATAAAATGATTTGAGCCATTTTATGCATCATATATAGAAGATACAAGAAAAAAAAATAAAGATGTAACGTTTCCATAACCATCGTATTAATATTTTATGTACCTAATGACGAGCATAACATTATGTCGAGATATCCGACTTGGGGTTTAATAAAAATTCCGAAGGTTAAAGCATCTGCAACAAATTTTTTAAAGATTAACTTAAAATAGAAAATTTTCGAAAAAAATTATATTCAACTTCAAATAGTTTTTGCATTTTGAAAATTAAGACATAAAAGTTAAAACATTCAATATATCTAGTAAAATATTATTTATGTTGGTCTTAACCATTTGTTTTCGATAATAACACAAGTATATTTGATCAAACATTTGGAATATCTTTAAAGTCTTGTTTCTAGAAACGAACGATTTAAACGAACTCTTATATGCAAATTGTTCTTCATTTGTATCTCATCATCTGCATTTGTTGACCAGAATTGTAAATTGGTTTTGTTAACCTGATTTATTATCTGAATTCACCATCCGGATTTAATATTCGGATATGTCGTAAATCTGGACTTGAGAGTCTGAAATATGAAAGGATTCAAATTACCTATGGCTTCAAATTTCCAATACTTCATAATAGTCTGTTGATATCCCAAAGTATAGCTTATACTTTGGAGAGAAAATTAGAGTAAGACATTTCCTTGTAAAAGTCTTATAAATATATGTATTAACCAAGAGCAAAAAACCTTCAACAAAATCGAAGACTAGTTGAAATGAAGTCAAGATTGTCTAAAAAACGGATTGGATTGTCATAGCCGATTGAAGGTCAATACAAGATAAAATTAAAAGTAGTCTATACTATTCTTGGGTTAAAAAGGGGTCGAACAGGTCTGTTGGGAGCGAGCCCAACAGGTGAGTCGGGCAGCTTTTTAGGCGGGCTAGCCCACGCCAAAAGGCACCTATGCATGATTATAAATATGCACATTTGGTGATATTGGATCCTAATCCTTATGCATGAAGATTAGGTGAAATGTTGAGATAGTAATGTTATATCGACTCTTTTTGAGGTGCTAGTAAGTAGACACATGTGGTGTTTGGTTCACAGAATTTTTTTGGATGAAATGGAATGGAATGTTACCCATCTGTTAAAGAAATTTGACTTTAAAGAAATTGGAATGAAATGTTACCCACCTGTTTGGTTGACAGACATTAGAATGAAATTTGTCTGTTTGGTTCACAGAATGTAGCTTTAGAATTGGAATAAAATATTGCTAAATGACCAAAATGCCCTTTTTTGATTTTTTTTTCAAAACTAAAAATACTTTAATACAATAATTATTTAATATGTAAAACAATATAAAATACACAACCCAAATATAATCATAAGTCGAACCATGTTACTAAATCGACGGTGGTCGGCGGTGGTTCAGATCAGTGCTGGTCCACAGTGGTTCAGATGGTGGTGGTCCGCTGTGATTCAGATCGATGGTGGTCAATGGTGGTTCAGATAGGCAATGGCGACAATGGTTGTTCAAATCAGTGGTGGTCGATGGTGTTTGACGGTGATACAGATCGATAGTAGTCGTCGGTGGTTGGCAGTGATATAGATCGATGGTGGTCCAATGTGGTTCAGGTGACGATGGTCAGATGTGGTTCAGATCGATGATGGATCATATCGGTGATGGTCAATGGTGGTTTAGATCGACGGTGCTTCAGATTGATAGTAGTTGGCGGTGGTTCAGATCAATGGTGGTCTGTGGTGGTTCAGATGGCGATGGTCGACAGTGGTTCAGATCGGTGGTGGTTCATGGTGGTTCAGATGGCGATTATCTGCGGTGGTTCAGATAGACGGTGAATCAGATAAGTGGTGGCTCAGATCGGTGATGGTTCAGATCGGTGGTGGTGGTCGACGGTGGTTCAGATCGGTGGTATTCGACGGTGGTCGAAGATGGTTCAAATCGGTGGTGGTGGTCCATGGTGGCTCAGATGGCGATTATAAGCGGTGGTTCAGATTGACGGTGAATCAGATTAGTGGTGGCTCAGATCGGCGGTGGTTCAGATCGGTGGTAGTCGGTGGTGGTGGTTGGCGGTGGTTCAAATCAGTGGTAGTCAGCGGTGGTAGTCGGCGGTGGTTCAGACCGGTGGTAGTCGGTGGTGGTCGGTGGTAGTTCAGATCGGTGGTGGTCGGCGATAGTTCAGATCGGTGGTAGTCGACGGTGGTTCAGATCAGTGGTGGTGGTCGGCGGTGGTTCAAAGTGGTGGTAGTCGGTAATGGTGGTCAGCGGTGGTTCAAATCAATAGTAGTCGAGAGGTGGTTGACGATGGTCATATTGAGTTTTATGAGATTAGAGTATATTAGGTTAAGAACATATTTGGTATAATGAAGATAGAGATTCCATTCCATCAAAATACTATGTAGTTGCTAAGAAATGTTAAATTCCTTTATTTGTGGAATTTGTAGGATTTTGAAGATTCCTTTCGTGAAAAAGAATGAACCAAACTAGGGAATGAAATTTGGTCAATAAAATTCAGCATTCCAATTCCATCGGATATCTCTAGAATCTGTGAACCAAACGCACCCTAAATGTCTATTGGGATTCTTGAGGTGAAACTTGGCTAGAGGAATGGGTGGTACTGAGGTTCAAGAGTCCTTAAGGCGAAACTCTTTGTAGTAGAGACTAAAGTGGCTTTTGATTTGCAGAATATTTTTGGATGTAATGCGTTAAAAGAATTTGACTTTGAAGAAATTGGAATGAAATGTTGTCAGGTTTGACCACCTGTCTGGTTGACAGACATTGGAATGAAATCTGTTAAGGAATTGACTTTGTTTGTTTGGTTCACTTAATGTAAATTTGGAATTGAAATGAAAAATATTGATAAATGACCAAAATGCCCTTTTTTGAAAATTTTAATTTTTTCAAAACTAAAAATACTTCAATAAAATAATTATTTAATATGTAAAACAATATAAAATACACAACCCAAATATAACCATAAGCCAAACTACGTTACTAAATCAATGGTGGTCAATGGTGGTTCAAATCGGTGGTGGTCCACGGTGGTTCAGATGGCAGTGGTCGGTAGTGGTTCATATCGATGGTGGTCCGAGGTGGTTCAGATTGGCAATGGCGGCGGTGGTTTAGATCGGTGGTTGTTCAAATCGTTGGTGGTCGATAGTGTTCGACGGTGATTCAGATTGGTGGTAGTCGCCAGTGGTCGGTAGTGTTACGGATCGGTGGTGGTCCATGGTGCTTTAGGTGGCGGTAGTCGGATGTGGTTCAGATCGGTGGTTGTTCAAATCGATGATAGTCGGCGGTGGCTGGCATTGATTCAGATCAGTAGTAGTTGGTGGTGGTTCAGATTGATGGTGGTCTGTGTTGGTTCAGATAGCGATGGTCGATAGTGGTTCAGATCGGTGGTGGTCCATGATGGTTCAGATGGCAGTGATTGAAAGTGGTTCAGATTGACGATATATCAGATCGACGGTGGCCGAAAGTGGTTCAGATCGGTGGTAGTGAGCGGTGGTGGTTGCTGGTGGTTCAGATGGCGGTGGTCAACGGTAGTTCAGATGGTAGTGGTTGGCGGTGATTTAGATCGACGGTGAAGGTGGTCGACGATGATCATATTGGGTTTTATGAGATTAGGGTATATTGGGTTAAAGCATATTTGGTATTATGAAAATAGAGAATTTCGTTCCATCAAAATACCATGTAGTTGCTAAAGAATGTTAAATTCTTTTATTTATGGAATTTATAGGATTTTGAATATTTCTTTCGTGAAAAAGAATGAACCAAACGAGAGAATAAAATTTGGTCAATTGAATTCAACATTTCAATTCCATTAGATTCCTTCAGAATCTGCGAACTTAATACTCACAGTTGTTTAATTGATTGAATTCTAGGACGAAATTCTTGTAAGGGGAGGATAATGTGATAACCAGGTTTTTGATTAAAAGGTTTGAAGGATTGTTTTTGATAATTCATGAAAGTTGAGGGGTTGTTTTGAAAATGTTTGTTGATCATCTTTCTGAGTGATTTGATGATGATCCTTTTTACCTTACGAAATGTACTATCTCTGTATTCAGCTTCATCGATCATCACTGAGTCTGTTCAGTGATCGTTGAACATGTATTGTAATTCTCTCAGAGACAAATATTCTTCAGGAAGACAAAACTCACACGATAGAACCTTCAGCGATATCGAAGATAGAAGCTGAAGATAGAGACAAGCAACTTCGTGCTCTGATGCGGTTTTTCAGTGATAACAAGCTCGTTTACACAAGTGTGAAATCTACTCAAGATTCGGCGAACACTGAAGAAACCTCAACCTTATTCCAGTGTTAGCGATCAAATGAATTATGTTCATCAAGATTAGTTTTTGTCTTGTCTTTCTACACACAAAGGACAAACCCATACCTCTCAAAGTAAAGTACTGTACGAAGTCACTCTACTGTCTCTAAGCGTGCTTACCTACTTTGTAAAAGACTATTGTTCATATACAACCAAAGACTGTATATCTGTAACAAAGGACAAGCTCACCTCTTGAAGCTTGCCACTGCTTTGTACATTCTAAATTGCATTTAATGCAATGGGTATAAATAGTTGAGATGTTCTTTCTTCTCAGTAGTCTTCTCTAACTCCATACCACTCTAACCAAGTGAAGTGCACAAGACCTTCTTAACATTTTCTTTTAGCAAGTCTTTTCTTTATTGCTATCTGTAACTTGTGTGTTTCTTTGATTGTTTAGATAAGTTTTGTATCTTATCTTTTCTGCAAAAAAAAAAAATTTGTATTGATTTTCTTTATCAATATAAGTTTTTTAAAAGTGAAAGTTGTTGTGTTTGTATTCATCCCCCCTTCTATAARCTGTTAC